GTCTGAGTATATCTACCTGGTATCAGTCAACGTACCAGTTTGGGCTGCTTTATCACTATCACCAGCAAAAATACTTTAATGCCAAACTTTCTTTGGTATGAGTGTGTGTGTCATTACACTAATCTACCGTCTCTTTGAGACTGCCTCTGAGGAGTTGCAGGGTGACCACTTTCATATCATTTATTACAGTAAATCGACTCCCCTTCATTAAAGGAGAAAGCTCTGAAATGAAAGGTGGCCCACTGGAGCGTGACAATCATCTCCTTTTTTAAATACACGGGCGATAAACATCCGTCTCCAAGCTAAAAGCACAGCCTTTTATCTTTTCTCAAGACATAATCAAAGGAGAAAGATGATTATAGCAATAGAAGACGGGAAGCAGAGCTTGTTTCATGCTGCCCAGCAGAAAAAACTACCATCATAGGAAAAGATGTTTGCTCTGCATGTGGTTTTGTTCACTGCTGGTGCTTTAACAGGGATAGTTTAGGGCTGTTTATCTGGTCTTTCCCTTTTTATGAACTAGCTTGGATCTTTTCATTGGTTTATGATGGAAAACAAAAGGCAGGCATCAGGTGAGACTTAAAAATGAGATAAATTACTGGAATATAATGGAGTGAGGCTGTCAGACAAACACAAGTATGGTATTTAAATGTAGGCACAAAGGAGCAGCTGATATCTCACATGGCAAAATGAGCCCTAAAAGTTTACCCAGAATGCACTTCTTCAAGTTTCGTCCGATGAATTATCAGAAAGCAGTTTAAACATTGATGCTTGTTTCTATTAGGTCCAGGTCAAACATTAGCTCCAGGTCAAACATTAACCCGGAGCATTTTTCAGAATCTATGATCATTGCCATCACAATGAATGCTGGTTACAGAAAAATCATGGTGAACAAAAACAGCAGATTTTGGCTCTAGACTGTGCCTCTGGAGTGGGTGTAAAATTGTTCTTCAGGCATGAAAAAAGCAGATGATTGTTTAACGCCCTCCAGATACAGAAGCACTGATCTTCAAGCCCCAGCCGAGGATGTGCTCCTACATCTGCACTGAGGAGCATGCAAAGTCGCACACTTGTGGCGGAAATCTCACAGCAAGTGTACCGTGTAAGAATCATGCAGCTGCACAAATTTTCATTCTTATCACTCGTACACGTCGCTCGGAGGTGCCGGTGCTATTGTGAATCCATCTATTGCACTGCAAACAGCGATAAGGTGCGGGTCAGCCAGATTCCCGAGCCCTCCTTGTACTCGCAGAGCAGCATTAATGATAACACTGCGAGATAAAAGCCGGGACGTACATGAGCATTCATGCAGAAATTTTCTTATTAAAGAACTGTCGACACCACAGTGCAGCGAGCTCGCCCTTTGAATTGGGATCCACATTTCCAAAGACAGGAACTTATTGAGTTTGCTCATCAGCTGTAGAGAGAGAGAGAGAGGGAGTAACAACACCACCCGCCCGCATGCACGCCTCCAATTTCCACTGGGTATTAAAATGAAGGACACCTCATGGAGAGCGACCTTTAGTGCCCGCGCTCTCACCAGCAGGTAGGCTTGTAAACACTGCGGGGTTTTTGTGGGATTTTCTGTGCGTTCCTGCTAACTTCAAGTCTGAATAGCCCCTACTGAACACGGTCAAAGCCGAGTGTCAGCGCGCTTTTTAAATGACATTGAAACCTTCATAACAAGGTCGCACATTCTTTATACCGAATAATGTGAGCTGAACAAAAGCGATGCAAATGCACAACTCTGAAAAGAAAGCAGCTGCAGAACATGTTGAATAAGGGGGAGAGAATCCAAGCCGCCATGTCCAACCAGGACCTGAAACCGCAGATCACAGATACTGTGGGTCTCTACGTCACTGAACTTCAAACACTGAAACCACAAGCTGGATATAAACGATGGACTGTGGCTGCACTGCATAATGTTTTTTTGTTTTTAAACTATCACTCACATAAAACCTTATTAGGGACACCTGCTCATTTCTAACACCACACCAATTTCTAATAATACGTGGCAGCAAGTTAACGTGTTCAGGTATGTAGACATGATCAGAATGACCAGTTTTGAGCTGGTAGGAAGGCAACGGCAACTCAAATAACTACTTATTACATTCAGGGTGTACAGAAGAGCTTCTCTGATTGAGGATGTTTTCTCAGCGCACTTTGTCTCTGTCTTTGCTGAGCATTGTTTAAACACCACAGCCTCCTTGAGTGTTGCTACTGACCGTGTCCATCCCTTCATGACCACACTGTTCCCATCTTCTGACGGCTGCTTCCAGCATGATAACACACCTCAGATCATCTTAAACTGGTTTCTTATGGTGTAACAGGAGATTCACATCATGGATTTGCAGTAACTGCGTGATGTTATCATGTCAACATGGACCAAAATCTTAGAAATGTTTCCAGCACCTTGTTGAATCTGTGCCATGTAAGTCTCAGGATCATGTTATTTCTTCCAGCAGTGTTACTTGGTAAATGTCCTGTATTTGTATAGTGCTTTACTCAGTCCCTATGGACTCCAAAGCGCTTTACACTACATCCATTCACACTCACATTCACACACTGGTGATGGCAGCTACATTGTAGCCACAGCCACCCTGGGGCGCACTGACAGGCTGCCAGACACTGGCGCCACCGGGCCCTCTGACCACCACCAGTAGGCAACAGGTGAAGTGTCTTGCCCAAGGACACAACGACCGAGACTGTCCAAGCCGGGGCTCGAACCGGCAACCTTCCGATTACAAGACGAACTCCCAACTCTTGACCCACGATCGCCCCCCAATACACCTTTATTCATCTTTTTATCATCATTTTCATCCCTGAGATGCTTCAGCTGAATACATTTTGGTCCTACTTCATGATTATTGTCTATAAAAGTTTCCACTGGGTAAATGATGACTGAGTGGACGAGTGGTTTTGTTAAGATAAACATGATCGTTCAGATTCTTCGGTCTCGTCAGTCCACTGGATTAAATTGGTGGTCATTATAAACTCAGGATGAACATACTCCGAGTTTATTGAGCTAACTCTGATCAGCTTTTCTAGAACTGAAACAGTTGGTTTAACCTGTTCTAGCCTACAGCGCCCTGTTCACCCTCTTGTGTTTTTAGACTCCAGTGCTGATCACTTCCTGTTCCCTCTTCCCTTTTTCCACTTCGCCCCAGCTCTTTCCTTATTTCCCCTCCAAGTCCATAAAACTCTTCTTTCTTTCACACAACCTCAATTACTTACAGGCCAGCACACTGCTAGCAGTGTATCTGCAGGGAGCTGATATCGTCCGAAGCGTCAGATCTGGCGGTTTATCTGTCAGGCTCTGTTGGATTATAATTCGCAGGATATGAGGTGTAGAAAAGTCTGATCTCACACAAAGGACACATGAAAATGGCACAGTTTATATCCATGAAAGCTGCCCCGCAGCTAAGTATTTCATCCTCTAATGATAGTCGTAGTGTGGCGAGGGCCCTGTCCTCGCTGACCTCAGATCAGTTTGATTTCAGCTGGCGGCGGTGGCGCCTGCAGAGCTGTCTTTCTCCTGTCTTTGCATAAAGAGGGGAGCCTTAAAACATGCCAGAAATACAAACTGTTTATTTGGCGTCACTTCAAAACGGCCTTTTGTTTACAAGATTTCCTCCGGCTGAGGAAATATAACTGCCTAAGCGCCCACCAACACAAACACGCTAATCCTGCCTGGAGACGCGGGGAACAGTTGTGCGCTCTGAATTCTTAGTTTATATATTTGAGTTTGGGATTCTGTTAAAGCTTTACTGTAAAGCTCCACATAACTAATCCAATCCGCTACACCAAGGTCATGACCTACCGTCCTCCTTCACCAGGACCTCCTTCTGGCACATGTCCTGCACGTTCACGGTGCAGTTGACGATGAACTCTGGCGTGGAGCAGTCGTGCGTCATCTCACACTGGTAACACTGGATCTGCAGAGCCAGCCCTGAAACACACACAGAAACCGCGTCATTCACGATAACTCACCCCAACAACCTCCTCGACGCTTTTTTCCCCTCCAGCTTTATCACGAAAGTTTCACCTCAAAGTGGAGTCGAGGTTTACTTTGTTAAATATTCTGCCTTTGACTCGCGCCGTTTCAAATCTGTGTGACAGATAATGCTCAATTATTTATCTGCCTTGCTGCTGGTACGTTTATCTTAGCAGCACATTTCATCATGTCTCCCTTTGATAGCTCATATTTGTCCATTTCCACAGCGAAGCTGACTTGTTTACGCCGAGTGTCCTTCAGGGGGCTTATTTACTGGGAGCGAAGGATAAACAGATTTCCGGCAGAAATCCAGTGCAGGTCACGAGCACGCTGACCTGAATCTATTTTTCATAACTGAGAAGACGCTGGAGACGGGGATCAGTCACACAGCACCTTTCAAGTCTTACCCATCACTAAAACACAACACCTCAGGATTATTAACATATGGGAAATACACATAAATCATGTCTCTGTGGCTGACTGACTCATGGATCATCTCCCTGCTCGTTCCTCAGGCTCCTCTCATGTTGTGTTTTAACTAAAGGTTATTTTAAGAAAATTCTATAAAAAGAAGAGTCATGGTTTTGGATAATTTCATGTTTTTGTCTTTTTCTATCAGTTTCATCTCCTCTCTTTCAGCTCAGTTTTATTTATGCAGCGCCAAATCACAACGAAAGATGCCTCAAGGGGCTTTATATTGTAAAGCTGCTACAATAACACAGAGAAAACCCTTTTTAAGCAACCACTTAGCGACAGTGGGAAGGAAAAACTCCCTTTTACAAGGACAAAAGCTCTGGCAGATGCAGGCTCAGGGAGGGGCGGCCACCTGCTGTGAGCAGTTAGGGACGACCAAGAAAATTTACGAACGTTGAAAAACAGATAGTTACAAGCAGTGGAAAACTTTCATTTCATAGAGTAAAAACTTTTTTTTAGAGTTTATATGATCAGACTTTGATGGATGTGTTTGATACTTTGAGCTGTGATTAAGCTGTATTTCTAATGTAATACCTGTTCCTGCTGTCATCAATAAACTTCATTGGATGATCTGTATCACCACACTGTCTTAAGAAAAGCCCGGTCTTTTGTTGATAACCATGAACAGCCTCTTTTAATCTTGAATTACTGCTCTCAGGATGAGGTTATAGGACGCCTCTAGCTATCATAAAGGTGTATAAAGGGTCATTTGTGACCCCCAAAAAATCAGTATACTGAATAATAACATGGTGGGATGTATTTCTATAGTTGTATAGTTCTATAAATGCATACGTATGAATGTGGGCTGACACCCATTATTTTGTTTTTATCATAAATTCACTGATTTGTGCCTTTTGTCATTAATGAGACAATAAAGTTATTCTACTCTATTCTATTTTCCTTCTATTGTGCCTCCAGCACATGCGTTCCTTACAATATAAACGACAGATTTTAAAACTAAACTGAAACAAGCAAACCTACTGAAAATGAATTAAAAAACATAAAATTAAACTAAATACAACTAGAAAACACCCAAAGCAATAACAGCTGTGTTGCCTGCTCCACATCTGGACTGTTTGCCACGCTGCTTGTTTCTCAATAAAAGTGTGTCTCCTATATTTGGATCTTCTCGGACAGCCACACTTTGATCCTGCCTGCTCGAAGATGGCATCCTAATAACCCCGATCACAGGCTGGACTGGATGTTCAGAGGAGCACCGCCGTGATACGAAATCCACTCCTAGAGTGGAGATTCATGCTGCTGCTGCAGCAGCACAGGTTTAGATAAACAACCTCTTTAATGAGATTGATTTGATACTAGAAATATTTTGAAATGTAAAAGTACTCACTTCTCTTTTATTTGATTTGGCTGTTGTGCAAATATCCATGCATGTGAACGTTTACAGGTATAAATACATATGTATGTAATGTGTGGGTACACATGCTTCCATATACAAGTCTTGCTCGGCATTTTTAAGTGCACATGCATTTGTCCCTACACAATAAAAGCATGAAAGACCACCACGACATCACTAGTCTAGGTCTTTTCTTCTTCAGCAAGTTAATCTCAGAATGTCAATTGTGAGTTCCAGGACTTTTTGTATCAGGCAGCAGCTGCACGCGTCTCCTTTAGTGCCGTGGACATGGAGGTGGGGTAGTAACGATGAAGGATCCTTTTCTTCTTAAAAAGTCTAAAAACCAGGTGAGTTATTGTGCACTTTTTATTTTAGAAAGGCTGCTGATGTTGCTGACTAACCCTAAGGAAAAGCTGCCTCTCTTCCTCGTTTTAGATAAAAAACACGACGATGTACGAGCAGATTTAGATGATCCTGTTCTGAATCAACCTCTCGGGCACCTCTGGATCATTTTCAGCAAGTGTTTTTCTGTCCTCTTGTACTTCTACTCGAACTATACTGGGTGCTGGTGCTTCTTCAGTGTGTCAGAACAGTGATCCTCAAGCTTACTTTTCATTTTCTGAAAGTGGAAGAGTCCAGGTGGCGAGCAAACATTGTGTTTTTCAAATCCTGTGTTTTCAACGTGGCTCCACAGTGCACATGGTTTCCTTCTCCGTGCGACACCCTGGGGTTTCACCGTAAAACTGTGCGATGACAGTCTGACCCCAGGGGATGGATTCACGGTGCACAAACCCACGAATGCAGGAAAAATGATGAGCCTGCTCCTTGTCTTGCTCCTCGCTGCCTTCAGGCATGGAAAGCGTGCACTGTAGATCCAGCTCTCATCACCTCCACATGAAATTCAGGTCAGTTTGAAACAAAGGTTGATGTTTGCACTCGGTGTTGCTGGACCAACATTCAGTATGGTGTATTGGAAAAAATGTGATGCATCATTAATCCTGTAAAATGGTTATTATGCTACCTCTGTCTGTCTAATAGACAACACATCCTAATACTATTCATAATAATATGCTATTTAAACATTTCCTCTTATTTTCAAACCACTAAGATATGAAACTCCAAAAGAAAAACTGATTTCTATGTTCTGGCTTTTTGGTGGGGATTGCACAAGAGGTGCAGCACAGTAAGATCGGTGCTAGTGTACTCCAGCACGTTTACTGAAGGACTGCACTGAAGCACAGCTTAAATGTAGTCTGTTTAAATGTGTTTTGTTTAAAAATTAACTGAAACTAGCAGAAAAATATGAAGAAACAGCAGCTGTAATGTGTTGTCCATGATGTGCTCCAGAGCTGTTTGTATGATTTTGAAAAAAGGCCAGGCTGTACTCTCCAGTAATACCACTATCAGCCACAAGGTGGTGCAGCGAGTCAGAGTCAAAACTGCACAGCGTTACGTTTAACTAAACTTCTGGACAATATTCAGGGTATTTTTAAGCATAACCTTATTTTGGTAGCATAAAACAGAAATTGTCTCTTTAAATTAGCAATACATAAATATTTTTAAGAAGAATTTAATGATGGTTGGGATGAACAACTTCATCACAATCACTGTTTTTTTTTTTATCTAATTGTGTTTTCTTTTTTTCCTTTTGATCTATTTTGTTTTATTGTTTCCCATTTGTGATCTGTTCTTTTGTGTAATTTTTTTAAACTTATTAAATACATTTGTTTTCTATAAACATTTTATTTAAACAAATTTGTTAAAACTTGCTAGAGAAGGTAAACATTAAGTTAAACATAGCAAACATATTTTAGGCTGTTTTTGGCAAAATAAGATGTAGAACTCAATAAAATAAAATGCAATGTGAAAAAAAAGGTAAAAATTAATTTGAAATCAAAATAAGTCAAAATAAAATCAGTATGCATTTAAATAAAAACTAAGTAATTTGATACATAACTATCTGTTTAAGTTCTATCGAATGTGCTGTAAGGCATAGATATTCAGATCAACAGTACAATGTGTACTCTTTAAAAAAATTAGTGTTTTTTTTTTAACCTTGCACTGAATTTACTAAAATTTGCTATTTATGGAGACGTGTATAAAAATAAATACATGAATAAAAAACAATGTTCTGGCAGAAAATTACAAGAACATTTTCTGTTTTAACGTTTTTCTAAAGTGTAACTTACCTTTAAAATGCTGCCACCTTGTGGCAAAAGCTTTCATTACGTTTGTGTTGAAGGTTTTTACTAAAAGTACCTTTAACAACTTCTTCGCTGGACAACTTGATCACAACTGTACTGCACATTGTACTCCGTTCATTTATTTTATTTTATTATTTACTGTTTATTTATTTAGTAATTTGCATGTTTTAAATATGAACATATATGATGCTGCATTTTTAGAGTTAAAACTAAATCCTGTCCACTTACAACATTAAAGTGATATACACATTAATGAGCCAATAGTAATGTCACGTATGTACGACTGTACCTTTGTACATCCTGAGTACTGTAAGCATATTCTACGCAGAAACTTTTGTTCTATTAAACAGGACTGCGACTCTTACTTTAATACTTTTAAATGAGTTATTAAATCTTCAAAAATCGCTGTTTAAAGTCTCGTGCAGACATTTTGCACGATATAAATCCGTATGAGAGCTGCACGTGCAGCTGAAAAACATCCTCTGTGTTTATTTCTGATGAAAATTTCTGTTTTGCGTCTTTTTCTCTTCCTTTCCAGACCCTGGAGAGGCCCCTGGCTCTGCTCTCTCCCTCCGCCTAAACTTACCTGGATCGTTTCATGCGCACCGGAGCGCACAGTCCGCGCGTGCAGACTGAGCCTCCTACAGTAATAAAGGTTTAATGTGAGTAAATCCACATCAGTCTCATTAGAAAAAGGAGCAGAGAGCCTCCCGGTTTGTCTCCCACCAGCGAACAGCCTCCATACCTGAGCCGAGGAGCAGCAGGAGCAGACAGGAGAGCGCGAGGAGCCGCATCGTCCGCGGATCAGTAAGACTCCGCGCGGGAGTCCGACAGACGGAGGCGCGCCGGCTCGTAGGTGCGGACACGGAGCAGCGGCGGGCAGCCTGGCATGGTGAGCCTGACGCCTCCCGCGCGCCTCCAACGCGCTTTTATCCTCCTTGTGCACGCACACAGGCGCGTGCACGGAGACACTGCGCACCACGTGGTAAAGAAACTTTAACCATGTACCTCCTCACTCTCCTCCTCCATCACCTCATTTTCTTCTCCTCTATTTACATTCTCCTAGTCTTCTCCTCCTGGTTCTTTCTTGCTTTCCTTCTTTTCCAAGTATTCGCCTCCTCCTCCACTTTGCCCGTTTCTCCTCCTCATCTTCATTCCCCCTCCTCTTTTCGTCTCAAGTCTCTGTTCTCTCCTCCTCCTCCTCCTTTTTTATCTTTTAGTTCATCTCTTCGTCCTTTCTCCTCCTTCTGATTCTCACTTTTCTTAGCTTCCTCCTCGTTGACCTTCTTCTTGTCCACCTTATTCTTCTTTTCCTCTTCTGGATCAAAGTTCTTCACCAGCCACTTCTGCTCCTCCTCCCTTTCCTAGTCATCTCTTGTCTCCTTCTCAGTCTCCTACTCCTCCTTTTTCTTCTTCACAAACTTCTCATCATCTTCGTATTCTTCAACTCTCCCTCCTCTTCCACCTCTGGAAAAAAGTTCTGCTTCACCAACTTCTTCTCATTGTTAGTAGTACTCACAGTAGTAGTAGTACTAGTAGTATGTGGGTATTTTCTGACCTGTGTTCAGTCTCATTCATCACGGGAGTCAAACATCGACTTACTGACATAAATAATTAAAGTTTTTCACTCTTCCAGCTGCCTTAAATCCCTCTGATGGCTCCTAATAACAACAGTCTCATATTTATGGCTCATTATTAAACAGAAATGAGGCGATAAAGTGTCACAGATTTAGTGCTTTGACCTCCAAAGTCCCTACTCAGATTTATTCATCTCGTGAGTTATAGGAATCACTTCGCCAAAAGTTTTAGCTCCATTTCAGACTTTGACCCAGCAAATGATCCACAAACACTGGATCAGAGGTCGGAGGTCACGGGTACAGTTTGTGGAAAGCTTCATTCAAACTATGATAAAATGGCACCATCGGGCCACGTGTTTGACACCACTAATCTTGGTACAATCATACATGAAGTGGTCTGTAAGTTGTCTGAGCTCCTACAAACTGCTGCTGTTAGTCACGTGTCATAAGATGGGAACAAACCCTGGATGATTAAACGTGTGAGCTCCAGTTTTTGTGAACAGACTGTAAAACTGTAAACAGAGGAGCTCTCCGGTTCAGTATTGGTCGGGCAAAGCAGCTTTCGGATGCTTTTCAAAGACAAATAAGCCTGTCTGCAGAACTCTGGGGTGGTAAAAACCGTCTGGATTTTCTTTTACAAATCCTACATATGAATCAGTATCCCGAGCGCCGTACATGGTGGGCTAATATTTCACATTTAGCTGAAACGTGGGTGAACTACAACAGCCCTCGTATCAACCTGTCCACCGAGAGCACAGACCTGCACGGGGAGTAAGAGGATTTCAGTGCAGAACAAACCCAGATGAGGGCAAACTGCTGATCTGCAGCAAAGGCGGGTCATGCTTGGCACCGTTTCCGGGTCTCAGAGGAGGGAGGCTTCAATCCTTGGTCTAAACTCCAGCAGTTTCACTCAGGTTCGGTGCGATCAACCCGTTATAATCTGTGTGTGTGGTGCATCGAGAGGCTGTTTGTGATTTACTGCGCTAATCTGCTTAATTGGAACTTGGATAATTGCACATTAAGACACAATTAAATGCTATGAATCCCTCCTTTGGTCGAACTTCAAATTAGCTGACGGTCATTTAAGTTACGTTTTAAGGAATGAGAAGATTTACAGCGACGACCCAAGGAGGTTTTTACACAGAAATGAGACGTCCAGGTAGGTAATTAAAGTGAAACCTCTCCGGTGTGAGAGGGAGAGGCATACGGGCAGCTGTTCAAGCTGTCGAAATGCTGAAAAATGGGTCCAAATTTCAAGAGGAGAAATTTTAAAAGCCATTCGTCCATGTGTGGGTTACAGGGGCGACAGTCTAAGCAGAGATACTCAGACTTTCATCTCACATGTTTCTCCTCCAGGTCTGTGGTTGGTTTGTTCATCGAGCCCCTCGTCTTCAGACTAGCAGCAGTAAATTTCATCCACTATAGAGTTATTAAACAGGAAAACTACCCCCAAATCTCAAATCTGTTCTTTGTATCAGGCTGTAAACATGTTTATCATAACATGTATGGGGAATCACTGCTGGAGCCTCAAGTGAATCTCAGAAGAACTGCAAGTTTTGGCACCCGAGCCATTTCAAACGCCACAGTACGAGCTGAAGGTCATTGTTCGATGGAGCCAGCAGGACTGCATTCCCTCTGCTGCACCCGGGAACTCTGTCCCTAAACAGAAACAGTAAAAATGAGTTCAAATTCATCCACTTCTTGTACTTCACTAAATTCGAGGCATCAGCAGTAAGTTTAGCCAAGTGTGCTGCAGCTCTAGTTTCTCTTTATGGCAGCTTCCGAGTATGCTAACATGACTGATGGCACACTGGGAGCCATTATGCACCGAGCCTTTTAAAACAGCAACACTAATCAAAGATGACTGGCCATCGGATCAGGAAAAAAGATCCCTCGGCGTGCATGCAGAGTGTGGTCAGCATCTTAAGAGCACAAGAAAACAAAAAGTCCAAAATGAACCCAATTTGCCTGTGAAATATGAGACTTTTGTGTCTTTGGGAAATGTTATTAAACTGGTTGCTGTGCATCAAAAGGAAATCATTATGTCAAAAAAGAGGAAGACGCTGGGACATTCGCTCTGACAGCTCAAACCGTGCAAGGTTACAAGAACCTTGATGCTTCCTGAGCTGCGGGAAGGTCCAATATTTTAAGTTTCTCTGCTGGCACCAGGCTCCACGCTTTATAGCTCCACATTCCCCCCACTCTGGATCTAATGGACCGCCCTTGACAGATGTGGTAACCGAGCAATGAGACACTAACACAAAATATTTCTCACGTGTTCCTGTTTCAAAAGTAACGTGCTGAAGAAGTGTGAACGTAAACTGGGAACCTGTTCAAAATGACAAACAGACTCGACTAAGCCACAAATGCTGCAGTCACGTGGACAGGATTTTAAATCCAGTCTGTTTGTTTCATAGTTCCAGCTCAGGCCAATCGCTGGGAAAACCAACAGCTTTTTCCTAAAACAATCACACAGTTAAATGAAAGAACAGGCTCAGAATCAGCTGGCACGGTTAAATCAAATATTCATGTTAAAAGACGGTGATTTTCTGATTTAGCAGTGTCGTGTTTTTCAGTTTCTGTTACTCTGGGTACATTTAAATACTCCAAAAATAATTCTCTGACTTCCTTTTCCTAACCACTTTTCCTTGATTCTGCTGGAAAATGTCATGAGGTCAAGGAAAAGTGTGAAGGACACTTGAGAAGTACTTAGGAAAGAGAAAGGCTGTGCCTGCATTTAAACTTGACTCCTTAATGAGATGCTAGATGTCTGCCATCCTGAAACTACAATTCTTAAAAAATGGACTACAAAACAACCCTAATGCTAATGTGTAATAACATGCTAATGTGTTCTTACTCTGCTGTTTTATGCAGGTCAAAGGTTGGACGTTTTGAGAAGAAAAAGGAACATTCTTTGATTAAATTTTTACATTTATTTTAACAAGTTTAGCTGTTTAATACGTTTTGTAGCTTTAAAGGTTTTCCTGCTAATAAAGATGTCCACCATGGCCATTCATGCTACACCAAAACAATTAACTAATTAAATGATAGAAATCTTCCTGTTTTTTGTTTCTTTTGTGTGTGTGGTTATTTTTTTACACAGAAATTGATATTTTACAGGACAGTCTGAGCAATGAGCTACTGGAAACCTTTCTGTAATTTATCTGTAAATATTTCTTAGATTTATAGCTCAAAGAGTCATGCGGACAGATTTCTTTTAGTACAACAGCATTTATCATGTAGAAAAATACAGGCGGCCACCAGTGCTCAACCTCCTAATAGATAAATCTATGATATCAATTTTAAAATCCTTTGTCACTTTGTTCTCAAGTTATTGCATTCGCAAGACTTTCAGAAAGCTTGCCCTCTGAGGTCACTGAGATTTGAACTCAGCTGAGATTTTTTGCAGATACTCGTACGGCACCAATTTAAGAAGACTGGTTATTCTACAGAAATGTCCAAATTTGGGATGCCAAGATATTTTTTAATTTATTTTATTTTTCTTCCTTCTTACATCTATCACATGCACCGCCTTTTTGTCACTGGTGTTACTCCTTTGGCAACTTTAAAGGCTTTTATGAAATATTATTTTCTTAATTTCATCAGCACATGTGGTCAGAGCCACAGATGAAGAATAATGGTGCAACACATCAGGGGATTATCAACCAGGGTGTGATTATATGATGTTCATTTATTTGCTATAATAATTAAAACATTTGAAAACGTTAAAATTGAGTAATGACATCACATCACAACCCTTAAGTGTAACAAAATTCAATGTAAAATTATTAACACCTTTAATATCACACATTTTACTGCCACATCCTCTGCAAAGACAGAGACAGCACATCGGCACCAGAAAGCAGGGTTTTACTACTTAGTTTAAGGTTATTTAGTTCCCTTGAGTATTTTAACCTCATTAGTGTTTTATTGTTTACTTTTGGTAGTTTAATTGGTACTTTTATTTTTAAAACCTCACATTAACAGCAGTGACAAAATGTCACAATAAAATATTAGTATTCTATGTTTAAAACTGTACGTAAGCGAAGTACTTGTGTAAGTAAATGTACTACCCTACTTGGTTGTGGCAATGGGAGGGTCGGTGCAGCCCCCAGCACCCCACTGTAGACTCACCCCTGATACTTTATAGTTATACTTTTGCAGATTTCTGCAGATTTCCACTGCTGTGAACAAGATTCCTATAATAGCTCTGTCCAAGACTCAGGATGTCCTCAGTGGTTGGAGGAAAACTAAAAATGTGTGATTAAAAGCATGAAAACTGGACAGAGAACAGTATGAGGCAGCA